ATATTACTTTATAGCATTAATAAATAATCAACCAATCAAAGTATTACTCGATGAAGGAGCAAGTGCTAATATCATAGAATTAGACCTAGCACAAGAATATAATCTACTCAAGTTATTAAAAGAACCATCTACCAGGACAGCACAATTACCTGAAGGAAAAGTAATCAAAAACTACGGAAAAATTACAGTACCTTTCCAAGTAGATGGATATAAAGAAAACCTTAAAGTAACAATCATTGAAGGAAACCAAGCATACCTTCTACTCTCTGAAATCGATCAAGCACGATTAAATATATCTAAAGATCGAAAAAGATGCATCATTCTTATACACGGAAAACCAATAAACTATCAAGATATTAATGAAAACTATCAAATTCCTAAAGGGTTTAGGCATTATAATCAAGTCTCTATTCGTAATGACCTAGTTTCTCAGGTACCTTGAGATTAAGCGAGTCCAAGCTAGCCAAATATTTCAAAAAACAAGATACCTCTCAAAAATTAAAAAAAACCCAAGAAAAATGCCCAACGTATCAATGAGTATACAAACTCACACCTCAAATGTGGTACCTAAAACAGATCACAATCAACAAAGAATGGTGCCAAACTATACTGGTCGCCAGGAACTAATATTAAGAAAGGCACCCAGTACCCAAAAATGGGTAGAACAGAAATATCATAATTCAAATATAAAAAATTAATCAATGAATTAATACCCTATTCATTCAATGAACAACTTAACCTGTTAAGAAAACAAGTAGAAAGAAATAAATGTAGAAACAAATTAATAGGAACAACTTGTGATGGCAGATGGTCAGAAATAGTAAGAACTGCTTTAGCTACAGACTCTAACATTCTTCAAATCTTCCTAACATATAAAGAATTAAATGGACAATTCAAAAATGAACAAGAAAAGAGATATACAGAATTACAAAATGGCGAACCTGATAAAACAGAAGATAATAACATCATAATAGGCAACAAGAATATTGGACTAAAAATAGTACTACATATTACTTTAGGTTTGTATATTAATCAACCATTGTGTGGGCACAATGGTAAGAGAAATTGGAAAATAAATAGGATATTACAAGAGCTTGCAAGAGCACAAGAAATGAATATTAAATGGGCTATAATACATATAGGTACCTTAGCTGGAGATAAGAAATGATCAGACGTGATCAATAATATTAACAAAATATTACACGTAATAAACAAGAACGATGGGATATCAGATTACTATTAGAAAACTCAGCTAGCAATAATTGCTTTGGTGCAACCATTCCAGACCTCATGGAGATAGTGAATAGTACAAGTCAAGAGTTAAGATATAAAGATAAGGCAAGACTAAAGAAGCGAATAGGCATATGCTTTGATATGCAGCACTGGTATGCTGCAGGGCAAGGCAAGAGAATCGATGAATATCGAAACATACTAAGAATGTACAAACAAGAAATCATGTTAGTATATATGAACAACAGCCTGCTGGAAGTGATATTTGGCAGAAGAATGGACAAATATGAGCACCTATTGGATCCACAAGCAAGTATACAATAAGAAGTATACCAAATGATTATACAGCATAAAGAGGTCTATGCTGCGGTAGTAGAGACACCGTCAAATGAAATAGCTAATCAAATAGCACAAATTTATGAAATCTCTAAACTAAGAGAATGGGCAGGAGATACATTTCAAGAAAAAACACTCTAAAAAGAGTGGTCCAAAGAAAAAGATCAAGAATTAAAAGAACACAAAAATCAATATGAAGGACCAGGATCATCAGGAATAACAATTCTATTGGGAATAGAATTTGATGACCCAGAAGTAACATTACTTGCAGAACAAATACAACAAATAACAGTTGCAGCAGAACATGAAGTGCCACAAAATAAACAAAAAAAGAAACTGAATCAACTCTATCTGGAAGCTGCACAAAGAGAAATAAATCAATTTAGAAAACAAGTAATAGGAGAAGACAATACTAAAAAAGATAAGAAAAGAAAAGCTAAAGTTTAAATATTACCTTTAATCAACAAGAAGTAGCAAAGTCAAAACACTAAAAATAGGAACATTTATTAAGACACAATTGTCACAATTAGATCAGATCTTATAATTAGAAAAAGAACAAGAAGATCCAAGAATTAGAACAGGCTTAAGACAACTAAAATAATAATTAGATAGTATGAAAACAAATTATAAATACATTTCCCAATTAACAAGACAACAAACTGATAAACATATCCAAGAAATTGAAAGAGTCACAAATAGGAAAATATTGGAAGCAGAAACAGCTGAAGATAAAAAGCTTACCTATACAAAACAATATCCGCATTAACAAAAACAAAAGATACTATTCTTTGAAAAAATAGAGATCTAGTAAAAGACCTAGAAGAAGAATATGGATATGCAACTAACCAAGCACTAAACTTGGATAGAAAAGATTTTAAAGCAATGAAAGAGTATGAACAATGAATCTTAATGAAAAGATTTGCCAGACAAATGGAACAATGTGAAAGTGAACCATTATGAAAACAATACCAAGCAAATATAGAGAACTATTGGGAGTATCTCTAGAAAACTTAGATAAAATGCATGATGTAGAAGACGAAGAAGAACTAATGTTCCAAGAACAAAAACGAGCCAGAGGACAAGGCTTAGAATTACCAGAAACATTACCACCAAAACATCCATATCATGAAGAATATCTACCAACAATAAACAAACCACGAGAAACAGAACAAATAGCAGATAGATGGCTACTAGACGAAAACTTTGGATGAACATTAGAATGGCTAAATAAACAAAATAAAAATCAATACTCCAAAATACCAGAACAACCAATATCAAGAACAACAACAAGACCAAGTTAACCAACATCACCAATCTTCCTTGATAAAGCAAAAGGAATGGTGCAGGCCACATTAAGTGCAGCACAACAGATGTTAAGTAGAAGAAATTCAATGCAATTGACACAATCATTCCACTCTAAGCAACATCAACATAAATTATCACCACTAATAAAAGAAGTACAACCAACTGATATAATATTAGAATCAAGCAGTCTTTACACACCAACAAGCGATAATGACCAACTGGTATTACCAAAATATGGTCATAAGAGA